GAACCCTCTCCAGATTCCTCCATGTCCTTCTTGGACTGGGGGGGACCCAGAACTGAACACACTATTCCAGGTGCAGCCTCACCAGTGCCAAATAGAGATGGATAACTTCCCTCCATCTGCTGACCTTGCTCCTCCCAGTATAACTCCCAACATAGTATGCAATTTGCCTTACTCGGCGGAAAGCACACAACACGTGGGCTTATATTCAATTTGGCACCTGCTGTAACCCCCAGGGCCCGTTGAGCAGGGCTGCAACTCAGCCCATCGCCTCCCAGCCTGTGCAGAGACCCGTGGCAGCTCCAGCCAGGTGCCAAGCTCTGCACCTCACCGCACTGAACTCTGTGAGGTTTGTTTCTTCTGGCCTGATCCCCTCAGCTATTGAGGCCTCTTGGGTTTGAAGCATTTGGAATGTCAACCACGCCCCATAACTTAATATCACCCTGTGAAAGAATTTAAAAATGACAAAATGCGAGTGATATTTTAATTCCTTTGGTCACAAAGGAATTTTAGTGCTGTTACTCAGCTTCTGGCTGCAGTTTTCCCAGTTCTTGTTTGCTCTCATTTGGTCCACAGTCTCACTGAGCTGCAGTCTTGTCATCAGCCTCTTCTTGGCTGTCAGCAGCACCATGAGATGGATCCTGTGACTACGAGGTTTATTGCAAGTCTCTTGTTTTCTCCCTACGCCTAGCACACAAGGCTGGTTGGACTGGCCCCTGGAGCTCTCTGGTGCCTTTGCATCAAAGGCAGAGGATACTAGTATGTCTAGTTCCCTTTTTCAGGTAACTACTTCTCTTAAATACTTACAGATTGATAACTTGGTCTGTGCATCAAAAGCTGGATGCTGCTGGAGTTATTCCCACTCTTTCTTTCCTTACTCCCCCCAAAAAGAATCCTGTTTAGCATGAAATAGTAGTGCATATATTGTACAGCGGTATATACTGGACAGAGGTGGTGCGGTGCTGTCTCAGCTGCAAATAAGCTGTGGACCTAAGCCAAAGGCTATCGAAACACGTAAGAGGCTTTGGATGTGACATCATGCCTAAGTTAACTTTTGACTAAATTAAGGATTGGATATCAGAAATCAGAAGTGTGCTTAAGCATGTGAGTGGTCCCACTGAGAGCGGTAGGACTACCCGTGGACTTAACATTACATACGTGGCTGAATAAACTTGCAGCTGGATCTGTTTTGCCTTCGGTGGCTCCTAAATCAGACTTGTTGCTGAAAGTTTCCCAATGCTGCCACCTACAGAACAGGTTAACTACAGCTTTCAACAGAGCAAAGACGAAAACTCTGTTAAGAAAATGGTACGATTGTGCAGAGTCAACCCTGGACACAGGTCTAAATTAGCAATGCGCAGGTTTAAACAGATAAGCCTGAAATCCTACCTAAGATTCTTAAATATTTCTCAAATATTTCCAAGGATAGTTGTACATATTAACTGTTAAAAGTCTGCCTCTGGAAGGCTGCACAGAAGTGGCAGGAATTTGTTAATTCAGATTAATTAATTTGCTCAGTAGACTCCTCACAT